TATATATGTATGTAAGGACTCCCATACTAATAATGCATTCATAATAAATCCTTGCTCATTAAGCACTTACTTTAATCACAATTCCAAGAACTGACTACAATTTCCCAGAGGCATACAAAACGTAATGAAATTTATCAGGAAAGGTGACGAACAGCATCTGAAATCCATATATAACTCGCTATTTACTTGTTTTCCTAAGATTTCATCTGAATAGATTTTCTATGTATGTTCTAAGTTGCTTATTTCTTTTTATATAGAATATACTGTAGAATTTTATTAAACCAATTAGCTCTTTTCACATCTTTAACTGGTGTAAAAATGTTCATTTTTATAAAAACCCCACATCTGATACTGATAAAGCTTTTAGTCGCGAAATTAAAAAAAAAGTGTGAGAACTGAGCATATTTTACTTTTAGATAAGTAAGCTTAAAAATCGCGAAAATCCTTCTAAGAAGTCTTTTGCCAAGTCCTGCTATTATGAAATATACATGATTCCTAAAGCCGTCCGATATAAACATATTTCAATATTCTCTTATACATTTTATATAGCAATACTTATAAATGTAGAAAATGCCTTATAAAACAGAAAAATAACTGAAATATTTGTTAAGAATTTATTTATTGGAAATTCCCCCGTCAAGATTATCGATGTTATATTTATATATATATTTTTTTTTTTGGAGGAGAGATGAACACGCTATTTCCGAATTATTACTAATCTAGCTGCGTGTTTATTTTGTATTTTAGTTGTTGTTTTTATTGTTGGCTATACAAATCCGATAAGAAATACACCAAAATTATTGTACGTACATATTATATATAAATATACATATGTATATGTATATATTTATATATATCAAAACACTTTGTAATTAATTTCTATGGCGTTCCGTGATTTTCGTTGTATGTGCTTCAAATTAATAATGGGGCATATTTTCATGGATTTTCATGACGAAAAGTTGACGGGTTGCATTATAATCATAAAAATTTGCTCATTTATTCAGTGTGTCATGCTTCAATCGTATATTGCCACAATTATGACAATTCAATCTGCTTTGAACTGGTCAAGTTCAGGGCAGGCGCAATTAGTTGAGCAGCATAGAGTGGACTATCATTAGGGCCGGAGGGTTAAGCCCCCACAGTGAAGCGTCATAAACGACCAACTAACTAACTACATTYCATGTTGGCCAATTGGACAGAAAGAGAGTAGCCAGCAGTGGCGTTCTTGTGGTAGTGCCTGACTAGAAAATACCCTGAAATTATTTTTATAATATTATTATAAATATGTATATGCTTTATACATTTAAATATCACTGATAAAACTATTCAATAAACTAAATATATTTCAGATTTTACTTAGTAATAGTTCCCTTTCATACCTTTAAGTTTACTTCTTTCATATTTCATCTACTTAGGATCGTTATTTAAGTTTGAGGGTATGAAAATTGGCTTTAGTTGAGCCACTTTTACTTTCAGCGCCCCTTCGGCCCGCCTTTCGTGCCCTTGGCTGTTTGCTGTTTGTGATTTTAGAGTTCAGACAGCAAGTGCGTGATTGGGCCGAAGGACACTGCCGGACAAAGGCAGGCACAAGCGTTTGTGGTGCCGGTTGTCATCACATTTTAGCTGTTGTTATGGGCCCTGGCCAGGGTCACGTAGTGGTTGTCCAATCGGATCAATAAAACGCATTTGGACTGTGCGAAGCCCACACACAAACGCTAGTCAGCCCAATCATAAAACCGTCTAATTTCTTAGACTGTTACGTCTCTCTAGCTTTCTCTCTCTATATATAAATATATATATGTATCGGATGTAAACTCACTTCAGTAGCTGTTCATCCTTTCAGACTGTCACATTTATATGCATATCTAAGCATGATGTCTGCCAATTTTATGACTTCATTAGTTAATAGGCTCAGGAGCCAGCAGATGCCAGACGACAGACGAGAGCTGAGAGCTGAGAGCAGACGCCAGTCTGGCGGGATACCCAATCTTAATTTGCATACATCTTGATAATAGACGGGAACTGGAGGATGAGGCTGCGCGTCCCCACTTTGATGGCTTGACATTTCGAATTTTCGAAGACGCAGTAAACAGACTTTGCGTAATTAGGGTAAAGTAAATAAACTGTGCTCATATCTGAAGATCAGGCTGCATAAATCAGAAATCATTCCGAATTTATCGAATCAGATTTTCAACCCCCACGCATACTGCAAAAATATCTCTTTGTCTATTCAAAACAAAGCGCATTCATTGACCTTCTTGGCTATTTTCGTATATTCATATAATATCAATGGGCTCTATGGGATCTATATTTGGTTGCTATTAAAGCTTTGCCAGTATTTCTTCGTGGGTTCATGCAATAAAAGCTTTCGCTCTCTGCACTATTCGATTTATGAACGTATTAATGCAAAGCTCACTTTATCGCTCCGATAAGATATACAGATATAAGCGCTGAAAGCCAAACAATAACAATAACAATAATATTTATAGATATTCCGTCTGCGTATTCCATTATTCACAATCCAAATTGGCTATGGGGTAGGCAGGCAAGTGTGGGCCACTCAGACCGCGCACAATAGAGCTGTCTGTATAAATGTTTATAAGTCAAGCGACCGACAGAAGTAAACAACTTCGATCAAGACTGATCAAGACTACAAATTAAAAAATTTTTTTATATGTATATTCAAGAAATACCAGACTTATTCTTCGAATACTTTAAGATATCTTTGACATTATAGAAGGCATTGACAGACATTTTGTCAGTTGAAAATGAAGATGAATAATGAATATGAAATCTATAAATGTTTGTTTAATAAAATTAAATTTTATAAAGCTGAATTCTCACATACGAAATATTATCAATATTCATTCCTAACAGTTCAGTAATATACGACTAAACAATATATGTATAAAGATTGATAGCCTTGTCATTCACTTATATTTAATTGTTCATAAAGACTCTAAAATATGATAACAATTCAATTATTATTATAATTATTATTATTTTCCAATGAAATGAACCTTATGTTGATACTTTTTGTTTTATCGGCAAAGTTTTTTTTTGCAAGGAACTCAAATCTTGCCAGATATATGCACAGGTGCTCCTCAAGCTTCAAAATGTGAGCTTAGCAAAGCAAACTGCGCAGAGAGATTCGTACACACTAATACTAATAAAGACAGACAGACACACACACATACATAGAGAGCTCCGCAGCTGAGCTGATGAAACGTGGCTGTGGTATATAATTGATAATTGTAATATGCACCATGCTATCGCATTTCCACTTTGGGACAGGTGCAAAACTCAATAAAATAAAATTCAAACAACTTTCGGACTTTTTGTTGTTGTCGTTGTTGTTTTGTTTTTGCATTTGGTTTCAAGTTTCCGTTCGCAAAGTTAAAGCAAATGTTTGCTGCTGTTGTTGCTGTGTTTCCGCTGTCACTTGAAGAGGCGCCCAAGACAATTACATATAGACATTAATAAGTATATATATATAGAATGATATATATTGTATATAATCCACATATTTATTTGAACAAGTGGCCGAGCATTGTGTGTAATCAGCAAGTGTGCTATCAGGCAATCAATTCAATCAGTTGAGTTATTGCAATGGAAGCTCTTATATGCATGCGACATGCGACATGAGACACGGGACGTGCGACATGAGACACGGGACATGCGACATGGAGTAATTAATAGTAGATTTCCCTCACTCCATACTGCTGCGATCCATCAATTGGAATTGAAAGTGCCTCTAGCTTGTAGCCATTCTCCCATGGGGACCATGGAGACTGCAGCAATTGAAGCCAGACAGCGTGCGTAACGTATACGCAACGTGTTACGCGTCACAAATCAATGAAACAAAAGCATTTCACTTGCATTTACTTGTGGTCAATTTAGCTTATTTTGCAACAAATTATCATACTTATATACAGCATATATGTATACATAAATTCATGAGAAAATTATGAATAGCCGGAAGTATTCTGTAAATATATATCTGTTTGGTTTGCCGTCTCATTTCGATACACTGTATTTTTATTTATGCGAAAATGGGTATATGCGTTTCGTATGTTCAATTTTGTCAAATGTGCTTAATATTGTATAGTAATTATATATTGGTTTATATATTTTCATTTAGTTGCCAGCTGGAAAATCTTAAATTTCTTCATTTATGTATGTATATTTTAATATTTTATATTTCTGATTCATGAATCATATTTATCTATATTTATATATAAGCTCCATATATCTTATTATTTATTTTCTTTGTATTTTTATAGTCAATAGCGTTAGTTTTACTTTGTCTCTCTATTTTTAATGCCTCTTAACTTTATTTTGTTTTATATTTTGTTAACATTTAATTGTTTTTGTGCATTATTTTATTTAATTTAATTTTGTGTTTGTTTAATTTTTAGGCCAACTCGTATTGGGCCTTGAACTCTTTGAACTGTGTCTAAATGAAATCGTAAGTAATTCTGATTGATTCATGACTCTTAAGTCCAAGTTTCAGTCTAACTAATCTAGCGACGCATTAATCAGTAAAATGAAATATTAAAAAATCGTTCATTTATATTTTATATATTTGTATATATATAACGCTACATATATCAAAATGTTAAACACGACAAATCGTGTAATTTGTCACGTTTGCTCGATTCGCAGGTCAGCTCACAAATACAGCACATGGATACAGCGTTTAGCTAAAGCTTCGTACGAGGAAGCAATGCACCCATACTAAGACACTAACTGTGGATGGTGTATGAGTATGTAATATGTGTGCTTTCAATTTCTCTTGTTTTTCAGCTGCCTGTACTTGATTTTTACTTTTGTTTAAAACTCGTTTTGTTTTCGCACTTCAAAATGGAACAACAAATTTATGAATAACACTTGAAGGTAAACCTATAGATAATAAATATATAATATATATGTATATACATACAACCTTATTTAATTTTTAATTTTATGGACTGTAATAAACACAGAGATTCTAGCTATGATAGCAAAATGTGTTCCAAAAGCCTTTGTATATTCAATCTGCAATTTTTATCTAAAAATACATTTCACTCTTTCATTCATTCATTGGATTATCCAGAAATACAAAATAATCTTTTGTGGTTATTCCAAGTTGTGAAACATTGTATTGTATAAATAGAATCTGTGAGGTTCTACATTATTTTTGAATATATATATAATATAATATATAATCTCATATGATTAGTAGAAAACATTATTGTATAAATCAAAATGTTTGCAATGTTAAGGCACTTTGATGATGTTGATGATATGGCAAACAGGGCTTATCAGTTGTATATATTTTGCTTTGCTATATTTCGTTTTGCAATTTTGTTTGAGTGAATTATCCGCTTAACAAATAAGTAAGCAACATGAGTAAATATTTAATTTCAACAGCAGAGCCGTCGACCCGTACCCATGGCTCGGCAGAAAGATTTCCACATAATAATATATGTAGTATATAGATTGCACGTTGCTCAGATAAGGAGAAAAGGTGAGTTGTGACGGGTTCACACTTGTCTAAGATTCTTTATCAGAAGTCTGTTTGCGTTTCTGACTGGTTTATAAATTAAAATGACGCCATAATTGCGGCCAGCGTAATGTAAACTAAAGCAATGATGAATGAATGAATGGGAAATTTATACTAAACATATATGTAAATATATTTACAAGTATATACATATATCACTCTGGGAGTTGATGCAACTGGCTGTAAATCAAAGTAATTAGAGAGTCAGGTGTCACTTGCTTGACACCTGACCGCATATTCGTATATTAATTTGAGCATCTGCATTTGCATTTCAATTGATAAAATTCTCGCGGATCGGAATTAGACAAATGTATGCAGGGCCCATGATTAATTAAATTAGTTATGCCATTAGCTATTCACAGTCATATGTGAGTTCGCGCGTTGTTTTGCAAATTTAATTGCCATCATTAACATTTTCTAAATGAGATTACATTAATGGAATGGGATTTGACTGTTTTGCTGCTAGTTAAACAGATGAAAAAGATTGTATCGGCTCGAGCGGCTTCTGTTTTGATATTTGTATGAGACCAGAACACACTAATAACACTTTTTATTCATTTGAAAACTGATGTATTTTACAGAAATGAACTTAAAGTGTCTTTTAAAGATAACAGATAGTTAAGCTAGACGAGTAGAATTAATTCTATTTTAGTGAATAGTAAAGTTAATTGGTCAAGCTAGCTTTGCAAATGGGGCGTATGATTAGCACCTTATGGGTAATTGTTGAATATAACAGTTCGCAAGGCCTTAGTATAACAATATTTCTGCATTAACCAATCAAAATTCTGCAGCGTATAAAAATGGAAATAAAGTTGTGGTCATTCAAGACAGTCGAGCGTACTTCACTGCAATGAAATGCAACTAGAAACCAAATGAAATGGCTATTCACAAATTTGTTTTGAGAGTAAAGCATTTCTGCTTAAATTATACTTCTTTATGAATAATGTGTATTCCGTTTCAGCTTTTACTTAACCAAACCAACAAATATTCTGCATGAAGTTCGCATATCGAGTTGGCAAATAATATTACCCTTTGTTTTTGTTGTTTAATTTGCAATTTACCTGACATTTGCGTAGTGCTGGCCAGAGCCACCGGTGCTCCAGTCTACATGCTCTATGTCTGAGGAGGTTTTAGCGTTATCGCACGACATTTTTGTGTTATTTGTTTTTGGTTGCTCTATGACCTGCATTCAAGAGGATGCATTAGTTGTGCTTGCTTTTTTTTTATACCAAAATCTGGTCACTCTTACGTAGCAGCCCTTACGATGTGTTGTTGTTGTWGTTGCTGTTTTATTATTGTTATGGTTTTCTTATTTTTTCTTGTTCTTGTGACGTTTTCCTTCGGCTACCACCGCATTTGACCACGTACCGATTTTAGCTAGTCGATATGTTTATGTTTTGCAATATAGCTATTGTTGTTATTCTATTTGGTGCATTAGTTTGTTTTGAAATGGGGAACAGATGCTGCTGCGGCTGCTGCTTATGTTGTATTTTTAGCAAGTCCCTGCTCTGGTTGATGTTTTTCTTTCTCTTATTTTCGTACTCTTGGTTCGTTGACTCCACACAGTTTTTGACCGGTAATTATTTTGAATGTTTTAAAATTAATTGCAATTTCTACTGCACTTCGACTTAGGTTTTTGAGGCAATGAACTTTAACAATATCTGCGAGACGCAAATGTGAATGCAAGTGTGTGTGTGTGTGTGTTTGTGCGTGTCTATTATTATATATTTTGCTTATTCACAATAAAATAATTAAATTGATTTATTTAATATGATTTTTGGGCGCAATAGCACGACCAGTAATCTGAACTGTTCACGATTGCACATATTTTTATTTATTTAACCAGATRCAATCTGCTGTAGTTACAAATATAACAAAGACATTTTGGTTTGACCTGCGACACAAACGCACTTGCACAGACAAGAGCTGCGACAACACTGCAGTGTGGCTGCACATTCGAATTGTGAAAATACTTGCTTTCGATACTTGTCGATATTTTAGCTCTACGATGATGCAATGAAATTTGGCCACCCTAATAATCGATACGCATCATATCCGCGCATTTATAGCAACTTCTATTTATAGACCTAAAATTTAAGTTTTTCGAATCACTTCTATGTATCGGAGCCCATTGGAGTCACGATGTGCTCAAGAAAATGGACATCGAAAAAAACCATTATGATCTGAATTTGAAGGACAAATTTGCCACCGAAATCAGATCTCAAAGGAAAATGGATGACATAAATACTATAGAAGACTATAATAGCCTGCCTGGAAAAACGTCGTCAAAATCGTGATGAGAATGTTAAGCGACTGCGTGATCCTGGCAGTGTCAACATACAAAAACAAGAACAGCAGTTCGACATTAATTCTCAGCGAGTTGTGCAGCCAGCAGCTGTTCCTCAGAATGATATGACTATCGCCAAGTGTGGCTATTCCAGGCAGCTGCTTTCCCAGCAATGCTTTTGACTCTTCGAATTGTAGAAGGAAAGACTTGCAACGCCGAGTAGAGAAGATAATGTCCTAGTAACAATTTTATGTGATTCAATTATTAGTATTATATAGCCAAGAGTTAATAATTGTTAAGCTATTTTGTTTCCCAAAAGATACCGCTTTACTGATAAAGGGGTTCTTTTCGTTTATTTATTCGCAAAAGAAACCCGATTCCTGATAACAAAGGGGTTCTTCTCGTTTATTTATTATTTGTATCAGTCTTATTATACTAGGTGCAATCTGGCATAACCCCAATTTAAGGAAATATCCGCAAATATAACAGATCCGTTAGCATTGCAGTGTGGGTGGAAAATTTCAATTAGAAACATCGATCATTTGGTTTGAAAACATTTTCAAATTTGGTCACTCTAACAATCGATACGTCGGAAATTTTTGTATTGCCATAAAAACAGGTGAATAATTGTGGAGTGTAGTAATCTTTTAAGTTCAAGCATGACTGCAGAAGTTCACTGGTGCTACGATGTGCTCAAGAAAATGGCCATCGAAAGCGTCAGCAACAGTGATTTGGAATATCTAAAGAACACGTTTGCCGTCGAAATCGGGTCCATAAGAAAACTGGATCGCATTAATACTATAGAAGACTTAATAGACTGCCTGGAACGGGGTGATCAAATAAGTGAGGAGAATGTTGAGCCACTACGTAATCTTGGTATGAACAATATGCAGTTGCAAGAGGCACTGGACAATTACCAGAGAGTTGAACGCAGAACAGCTGTAAACTGCTATCAGGAACAAAGACTGGCCGAAGAGCTGCAAAATCAGTTGCATATCAATTCACAGCGAGTCAGGCAGCCAGCAGCCGCACCTGCAACTCCAGCTCCACAGAACTATGTAACTGTGGCACAGTTTACAGATGCGAAGCGTGCTGCAGTTTTTAAACAAATTTCCGAGCAATTGGGTCGCTCGTGGCGCAATTTGGGTCGCAAGCTAAGTATAAGTGAAGGTGCCATGGACGAAATAGAGATGCGTTACCCGCAGGATCTCAAATCACGCATCCTGCGACTCCTCCAGATGTTCGAAGAGGACGAATGCAATGATCCCAGGCAGCTGCTATTGCAATTGTGCCGTGGACTTTCGGAATGTGGACGGAACGATTTGCGACGCCGAGTGGAGCAGATAATGTCTCACTAACAATATTTTAAGCGACTCCATTATATCATTATTTTTTTATCCAATTCCAAAGAATGTATAATCCGTTTTTAACCGTAGTTTTCTTTATTTTTCGCAAATTTCATGACTAAAAGAGCGGCGCGTGTAATAAAACGCTCCACTTTTTGATAACAAGAGGGTATATCTCTCGCTTATTTTCTTTTTTTTTTTTTGGGATCAGTTTGTTTGCGTTGCTATAAACTGGATTAGCTATAACCGGTAATAAAGCCAACGCAAAAAACTTAAAAAACTGTTGCAAAATTTAGAGAGCCTAGCTCGAAATTTTACAAATTATAAATCGATTTGACACTCGATCCTTGCTTGACCATGGTGTCCTTATGCAGTTGGTATTGAAGCAAATTTTGGCGTCCCAGACGTAGAGCATCGCGTAGCTTGTGTCCAATCTCCAGAGCGGCTTCCTCGTTGTTGCCATTGGCAGTCCATATAGCTAAAAGGTACCAGAGACATGTATAGAGATATTTATCAATTTTTTCCAATTAGAGATTTCCTTACATATTTTATTGCTCTTGGCGCGAATATTGACAACGGCGCCACAGATTTGATCGGAATGATCGAATGCCTCGCCAATCAAACAAAGCAGCTGAAAGGAAATAGATCATGAGAATTCAACGATGATCCGTTTTCTTTGTCTTTTCTTACCACATCGAGCCACAAGTTGTCCAAATCGTTCTTGGAGCTTTTGTTCAATGTGATCACCCAGCGACCACCTTGCTTATTGGCAGCGTCCTCCCACATGGGGCTAACAAGACAAGGGTTTAGGATTGCTTTAAATACGATTTTAACATGCTTACCGAATGCCCTTCTTGAATAGAGAGTAATCGCTGCCCAATTTGATCTCAGATGGCGGCTTAATATGATTGTATAGACTCCAGAAGTCTTCGACTGTATCGAAGCTGGTAATTTCGTTCAGCATATCCTCCCAGGATTTGGTGCGATCGTTCTCCAAATACCAGAGGGTCCATGTGTTCTGCAGCGGGTGTTTAAACAAATGCTCGGTACGCACAGCTCCATCATCGGACTGTGGATCGGCGACATCCTTGGCCTCCTCCTTCTTGGAAGCCACTTCGGTAGCAGGAGCAGCAGCAGCAGTACCAGTTGGAGTTGGATCTGGACGACCAGGTGCTACTGTGTTAGCATTAGCATTGGGCTGTTCAGTGCCGGCAGACACAGTGCTGCTCTGATAGGATAAAAAGAAAACCAGTGTTAAAATCAGAACGAATTGAAGGCGAATTCATTGGCTAAATCAGTTTTTGATGTTTACTTTGAACATGGATTTGGGGTTGGCAAAATTCTTCATTCTGTGAAAGTCGCTCTGCATGTTGAGGCCGCCAAACGAGTTGAAGAGACTTTTGCTGCTGACGGGCTGATGGGAGGGAGCGTGAGCGCGAGCTTTTACGAGTGGGAGCGACGAGACGATCAGACGCTGATTCACTTGACGCGTTCACTAGTCGTTGCTGTGTACTGTATATACATATACATATATATAAATATGTATATATAGGTGTGTGCGTTTTGAGTGTATGTAGATGTGTGTTGGTGAGCGTGCGTGAAGCTTTTCTTTTGTAAGTTTCTCTATGTATGTATGTAAATAACGGGCCGGGTGGAATTATTGCTTATTGCAGTATTCTTAATTTTCACTCTTCTGCCAGTTCAACCAAGCTAAGAGACGCTTACAAAACGGATTTTTATTAGATTCTGGAGATTTGGTGGATGTCATTGACATTACACTGTCACTTTGCACTTATGTTTGTCTTTTATTTCATTTATTTTTCTTTATGCAGAAAATTAACTTGTTCAGCTCGTTGTTGTGTGTGCAATTCGCGGCCGCTTTTTACTTTCGATTTGTGCACAAATTACTATGTATGTTGTATTTATTTATGTATATATACACATATATACATATATAAATAAATATAATTTACATATACGTATATATATATGTATATATATGTCCTTTATTTGTTAAAAATAATACACGAAATATCTTTTTTCGGTACTGGAATGGAAGTACAAATTCCGAAATGAATGTGTTGCTTGCACGCTAAAATTTACGACTACACAACACACACAGATGTCTGAATACACACAGTTTGCCTGGATCTTTTGTTTTTCTCACTGGCTACTTTTGATCTTTATGGCAAATGAGAAACAAAAGAAAAAAATCGGAAATATATGTTTAATTTAGATATAATATGAATATGCAGGTTCCGATAAGTGTGGCAGCGAATTACTTAAAGCCAACGGGCTGAACTGAACTGTTCATATGACAGCTGCAATAAAAGTCTAAAGCAAAGCGTCGAAGTCGCCATGGCAAAAAATTTAACTGTTGTTTCTCTTGCTGGCTGCTGACTCTTTGTTGTTCATTGCAGTAATTTAGTTTTCTGTTTCTCCTGCTTCACCTACTTTTTATGCTGCACACATATGCACTTGTACACACACCTATGTTTGTACGTACATACATATATGTATGTATATGTATATAAAAAGGCGAGCTAGGCGTGTGTGCGCGCGAGTAATAATCTCAACGAATTCCAGCGACCGAGCGATACCACAGAAGAATGACAGCCTCAGAGGTAAACTCGCGGCGTGTTTTTAAAGAGCAAACGAAAGACACAGCACAGAACTCACGGCACAGCATATGCAAATAGAGAGAGCAACTTCGTAACGTAGCACGAGAAATCTTACGTAGACAACAGCGTGCAGATAATAATTTACTTTACTGCATTACGTTAATGGCAAACAATAGAAATGTGGACGTGTATGTAATAAATGGAAAAATGTAAATCGAAAATCCAGCGATGACTTGCCACGCCAGCTGCACTCGTATACTGTGTGTGTGTTTATTTCCCTTACTGCACGCTCCCCTCTTGTGCAACAGCCCTGTTTATCGACGACCCTGCCACGGCTGAAACCATGCGGCACACATTTATCATATTTTACTTACCTTTTCGTTCTCTGACACTACCATGATGTCAATGAGAATTTTATTAAGAAATTACTGTATACGCACTCGATTTGCGTACTAAGATACCCGGCAATTATCAGTTAAACGTTAAATAATTGCGTCTGGCTAACTTTGTAAGTTCAATACAGCGTGACCGAATACAAAGCGATCTGAGAATATGTTTAGTATTTTATTTTATACATTTTAATGTAATTTACTGTTACGGCTGATGGTCACACTGACATCGTACAAGACATATATAGTGTCACTGTTGTTGTTTAACAGTCTGTTAATTTTCTTTCACATTTTCTATCGGCAATAGTTCGGATATTGCGAGCAATTACTTATTTCAAAGGCGGTTAATTTAAATATATGTTATATCTCATATTTACAATAAACTGTGAGTAAATAGCATTGATTCTATAAGTTCAGTACGAAATAAACAGAGATTTATCAATCTATGCAATACATTTATTTTTCTTTCTTTTGAATTTGCTCCGATTCGTGCTTTAAATTTAATTTAAAGTCTATGGGCTTATCGTAGCCCATAATTCGAACATAATGTTCGGGATCATCAAAGAGCGCTGGGTCAACGAAGAGCGGGCGGTTCTTTACCAAAAATGAGGTAAACATGCCCGGAACCTCAGGGACAGTCACATCGCTTGCTCGAAACTTCGTCTAAAAATTCAAAATTGAATGGGTAGAATTATAGAACAAATGAAGTCTTTCACTCACCTTGATCTTCAACAGTATTAAGGATATTGTGGTAGCTATATATTCATCAGTAGCTTGATTATAGTGTAGCTCCGTCACATATTTCTTGGTTACCAAATGTAGCAGAATTGGCGTCACAAAGGTAAAAAACCCACCCACTGAGCAGAGGAAGACCGCCATGCCCGTACCACCGATCTTCATCCCCTGCTCCATGAGGATGGGCTGAGCAGCCAAACCGGCCAGGCTGGTGCTGAGCGAGAACAGCTTCACCAGCCTCATGCGTGGAGCTAATGTTCCGTAATATATGCGTTTTAGATCCTTATCATCAGTGTCCTTATCAGCCACTGGCGTTGCCAGCCATCTGGCTTGCTGCTGCTTTGGTTGCTTCCGTTGCTGCTGTAATTGTTGTTGTTGGTGCTGCAATTGTGTTCTTGACCAGGCCGAAAATCCGCAACTTGACTGCACTTGAGCTGCACGACTTATATGCCTCATGGTCAGCGCAAAGTTCTTGCCACAGCGTATTGTCAACATTTTATTTACTAGTTTTGGTCAAGATTAGCTAGTTTTTTATATTTCTTCCTATTGGTTGATTGCAGAAGCTCCTATTATTTAATAACAACACATTACGGAAACAGCTGTGCTGTTAACACATGTTGCAGACTGTTAAATTGAGCGAACGCGTGTTGAACGCCGTGAAGGTGGTAGCGCTTATGTGGTGGAGTCAAAGCGCGCGGCATTCGAAACTAGAATATTAATTTCATGCACATTTATATATATGTAGATAGTAAAAAAGATTGGGTTCCTTGATTATGTGATGGTCTATTTATATTTGGAACTAGTACGCAGCAACAACAAAAGCTTAAAGAAGGCTATGCCAAGAATGGCAAAGTAAAACATGCATAGTCAAATAATACTTGGAAGTTGCACTGTTTGTTATACATATATGTACATACATACATATTTAGCACATATATGTACATGTGTACATACATATGTATTTGCCTGTTTGCATGTGAATTCATAATCTGCTTAAATCGAGTATGAAATCTATTTATGTGTGTGTGTTGGTTTTGTTATTGCTTTTGTTGTTGGACTTGATTAACAATCAATTTTGTAATGTGCATGTTTGTGGAAAGCAATGCGAACACACAAAATGCGCTTGTAAATGCACATTAATGCCGAAACGAACAGATGGGTAGGCGTGGCACATACATAAATACATGTATATGTACATATGTATGTGCTACAGTAAGGACTCGTATAAGCGAATATACATAATGAGAATAAGAACATCGAATATAAATGTAACATAAAAATATAATTATATCCTAAGAATTGAGAGCTTTAAGTTGTTCATTCAAAGAGGGTTTACTGTATATCTATGTACGTCTAGAGGCATACATACTTTTATATGTATATAATATATATACTAGATATGTACATATATATATTTCGTTGTTCGTCGCAACCGCATGTTTTAATTGATTTCGCATTTTAATTGTTAATATGCCAGAAATTTAATTTCTCTCCACTTTTATTATTGAATATTCTTTATGTGTGTTTTTGGTTCATTGCTTGCCACAATTTGTGGCCTTGTTGCATGTCCATAATTTGTTTTCTATGTCAAGTGTTCAAAACGAGTTACAATCTACGTCTGCCTTCCTACTGCCACGCCCATTTTTATTCCTACCATTTCACTCCCCTCTCGCTATCTCTGTCTAGGTCGCATTATAATGCACTCAGACGTAACTAATCAACAATTTTCAAAGTGACCAAAAATCACATTTGAGTTGAATTTGGATTTCAGCTTTCCGCCTCACTCTTCCTTTCCTCTGCATCGGTCAACTGCTCTTGTGACATGTGCATTCGCCTGCCACGCCCACCTGCCTGGCCGCCTGCTATGGCAATTCTTTTGTTATCTGTGCCTTTTGTTGTCATTTCATTATTGTTATTTCATGCATCATATGCACTGCGTCCCCGTCACCCACCCCACTCCCTCTCTTTTCGTTTCACTCTCTCGCTTAAAATTTCACATGCAGACGAGCCAAAATAATTCATAGCCAAAAAGTAGCAATGATATATGAAGCTATAAAGCGGCGAGAGGGAGATGGAGAGAGTTTGCTGACTTAGGCAGCGCATATTGCACATTCCAATATACTGGAATATCAATTTTTATTTATTTATTTCATATTTCCCGTCAATATAAATATGGCTGCATATGTGCATCGAATTCTGTTTAATGTTATTTCTGATTCCATTTGCCTTTTGCTTAATGTAATTCCTTTCTTTAAAATATAAATGACGCACAATTATGAGTTCCTGTTGCGCTCAAAACTTAAAAGCGAACAACTCAACTCAGAATTAGCTCAACTCAATTGCTGCTGCAATCACTCATTTGTATCTCAGACATTCTGCAAAGGCTCGTTGCAACATGTTGTGTTCGCTGTTTGATGTTGCGGCTCGTTAAGGAGAACGGCGAACTCTTATACGCAACATGGCGAATCGCCTGTTGTGTGTATCCTGTTTGATGTAATACGGTATGTGGATTATGTTGCTCGTGTTGGAGCGCAACTTGAGTGCAGCTCAATTTTGATGTCTTCATTGGGGAAATTCGTTTGAGTGGAGAGCATTGAAAATATAATCCTGTTAAAGCTGTTGGAGTGAAAGGCTTTGTCAGCACTCAAAATTAAACTCAAACCTAATTTAGTATCTCAAACGTAAATTTAAACGTAATTACAATTATCTTTCTAATGAGGCTCGCTGCAAAAAATGTGGGTAGGGAGTCAAGGCAGCCAGTGAAATTCACACGATTCCTGAGACGCGTTTTTGTAATTGTTGCATATTTGCATGCAGTTGCCTAGACCCTCGCAGCTAGACGTGCAATAAATCATTTAAAATTCACTTTAACACGCGCAAAACACCCAGCCACATCCTGACCAAGCAGACAGAACTAGACAAGGTAAACGAGAGAATGGAAGAGTGAGAGAGCTGGTGGAAGTAGATGTGGAGAGGAGATGCAGGATCAACGACGCATGCAGTTTTCATAGCGCGTTCCAAAAGCCACGAGGGCGGCGGCAGGGTAGCTGTTTGGGGAAATGCTAAACTAAATGCTGGAATAATTACAGACTTAAACTATGCGCATATTCAAAAAGAAGCCAAAAGAATGCGATGAGCATTCGAGCCAATGTCCAGGATATGCACATCGGGCCATAGAAAGACTACAAATTTGGAGAATTCGCTCGTACAGGTGGCAGGCGGAAACTGCAAACATTGTTTGATATACATATACTCATATTTACAGTGAAGACTCTAAAAACAAATATCCTACACAGAACATGCTAAATTAATTATTCATATTCGTAGTAGAACTTTATACACATATGTATATCGATAGCAAAGAATCTTGAAGTGATCGGAAGTTTGGGACTTGATAGTTCACAATACCGTACTCCTTTATCTGGATAACATTAACATACATTTTATTTATTTCTTCTCTCTTTTCGTTAGCCAGCATTCACTGTACTCGGCATAAGTGTGCATATGGGTTTGCCTATGTGAATATGCTTTCTCATTGTCGAGCATTTGAGCTGTGTGTATTTTTTGTACCTTTCGTATTTTTGCAGCATAATTCACGTTCACGCTAACTCGACGCTATTATAATGTTTCGTTAAGTTATGTTTCGGTTTTGTTGTAGTCTACAAATTGGTAGTTCATTTTGCGCACATTTTCGCTTGGTTAGATTGTAAATTGGTTTATAATTTATACGCCCTTTCGAGTGTGCAACCAGCCAAGCAATAATTTTCAACATTTAATAAAGACAAATGTGTAGCAAATGGGTCAATTTCGGGAGCACATAGCTTTTGAATTACAGTTGCGCAGCAGCAGGGTATATGTATGTATTTATATAGTATATAAAAAATAGAATGTATTTAGTATTTAATTTAGATTGCAGCGTACTTGCTTAAGCTACTGCAATGTCAATCAGGGATCAGTCGATAGCTCGATAGAAAGTCCCTGAGTCCTGTCGATTAGTTTTCGCTAGTCAGGAGGAGGTAAGTCAGTGTCATTATGGAACTATGAAATGAATTCAGTGGAAAATTGAAAGGCGCATTAATTAATTTGATACACATTTAATGTTAGTTTCATCAAGCAGCAGCCATAATTCACTTTGCCCAGTTTTGCAACATTATGCTGCTTCTTATTTTGTCATTTTCTATTAGTAACTTGGTAGCTGTGGCAACGGACAACGGGCAGCGGGCAGAGCAGAAGTTGTACTAAAATAATTACTGACAAAGCCTTAAATATTAAATTACACACTTATTTATTTTTGCCAAAGGAGAGGAGGTGTAACGGGCGGCATATGGACCCGCAATAATGAGAAGCTGCAACTACTCGACACTTGTGTCTGTTCCTGCCGCACTTCCTGTCATCCTTCGCCTGCTGCTGCGATGTCCTTGTCCACGTCCTTTGGCTGGGCTATTCAAATACCTTTTCAGCCACTCTGCACTGCCATGGCCAGTGTCCCTGCCACTGCCACAGCCCCCACTACTGCCATTGCCACACTCTGGTGTTTACTTTGTGGTTATTTTGAGGCTACAAGTTGCAACTTTTACATTTGCAAGGCGAGGCGCAGGAGCTTGTCCTGTGGCGCTGGCTATGGATGTGGCTTTTTGCTGCGGCTGAGTCTGTTGACTGCCGGGAAATATGCTTAGATGCTTACCTTAATCTAATGCAAATGAAACGACTGCGGAGTGGGCGACTCTTTGCTCATCACCGATTTGGTGTCCTTTCATTAACATCGATTGCGATGCGTGCAGAAAAATAATTGAGGGAGAATCTTAAATTTCAATAATCTGACAACTGAGGCGAGACCATACGACTGGGCTTAGTAGTTGGGCAAGTGCCTACAAAGTTTTATGCCTGTCCAGCTGCATGTGCATCCATGTCCTTGTTTCTGCCCCAGCGCGTAGCGGACTTTGCCTGCAAGCTGTCTGCCAGCATTTAAATCAAAATTAAACCCACCGAAAATAAGCTACTGTTAGAGATACATATGAGGGAGGGAGTACATGTGGCAGACAAGACTGTACTGTAGTAGTGCTTCAGTTGCTGCAACAGTCAAGTGTCCAAAGTCAATGGCTGCCTGTTGTTTTGCTGTTGCTGGGCAAACGTTGCGTATACGTAACGTGCTGTTTGTTTGCTTGTCCTGCGATTTAGCAGACACTGCCTCTCTCTGAGTGTGTGTGCGTGTGGCGATTTAATAAAAATAGATGAGTAAACTGGCATTCGAGTCTGAGTGTGTGTGTGCGTGCCACACACAGACATGAACTTCATTGGCTTTGTGCCTTTGGCTCACTTCAAGCGTTACAAATTTAACTTTAAGCGTTTTGACGCTAAGTAGTTGATGGCTGCATCAGCAGCTAGAGCAGCAGAGCTCCAGCTCCAGCTGCTGCAACCATTGGCAACTGCTTTTGAGTGCACTCCCACATTATTTCTTTAGAATATATCAAAAGTTATAGTTAAAGAGTTGCATGTTTGGAGAGTGCAGACACACATATTCCCAACGATATATATATAAAACCAAATATATATGTATGTATATATTTATAACACCCGCCCGCCGTCGCAGCGCATTCGCTTCCGGCACTTTGACTGCCTTGACTGGTTGATTCTAGTCAGCACGCTTCAATGCCAGAGCACAGCATCCCTTCTCCGACTCCTGCTGACATACACGCATCCTTGAAGCGAAATTGAAGTGTTTGTGCGAAGCGCACAAGTGGCCAAAATGTGCATGAAAATAGCTTAGAGCAGCATGAAAATTGTGACAGCAGCAGCAGCAGGAGCAGCAGGAGCAGCAGCAGCGCGCTTTCCCCCAAAACTGATGTCGATGAGCTTCGCCAGCGCCAGCAACAGGACAAAGCGCCAACCACGCTTATGATCACAATGGCAATGCGAATGATAATGTTGAGATGAAAGGAGCAACGAGTATATGGAAATGCGGATGCGAATGATGTTACGCATACTCGTTTCACTTTAATATTGCATTACACTCACACTCCCAGCTTTGCTGCTTCTGCCGCATATTTGTTGAATTTCGTATTAAAAGCAAAAAAAAAAAAATTCTGTTTGCCAAGCGGCAACCGCCGGCAGAAGGACATGGCAAGCTCAACAACTTGTTAACAAGTTAAAGCATTTCAATTTATTTTCTAATTAGCTTAACACTTAAAGTGAAAAAAAAAAATATAAAAAATCAAATACAAACATATATATACATATGTATATATTTATTGAGTATATATTTATGTAATTATTTTTTCTTTATTGAGCTTTATTTCTCTTGAACATTTATATTTTTGTTATGTAATTTGATTGACTTTCTTTTGTTGCATAACACGGCGTATGCGTAACGATGGCAACAATTATTATGTATTCTGTGAAGCAGCCAAGCTATTTAGCCTTAACCTAAATGATTTTGAATAATGAATGCAGCTGCAGTTGGCCTCGCCCCTTCTACTCCGCCCTGACCTCACTGTCCTCGTCTCGCAGTTGTCCCTGGCAACCAGATGCCAATTAGCTGCTGCTTTGGCTTTAAATCTCAGCTACTTAGTTGTGAGGTTAAATCTTGGGCAAAGTGCTGCGCATGGCTTGACTTGGTGAAAATTCATAAACGAACTTTATTCATTAGTTGGCGACGCAAGTCCAACAAACATCAACAGCAACAGCAACAAAACTCGTAAGCGAAATAAGTTTCTGTGCAGCGAGTTGCTATGAAATTTAAGCAAGTTGTCATAAAAATGTTCACACCCAAATCGCATTACAAGAAACAGCCAAAAAACCCAGCCATTGCCACAATGCATCGAATAACCAATGCCACAGTAAAGTTCGCCACCGAAATCCACTGTGGTTACAACTTTTGCTCTTTAGGGGAAGGCTCCAGCTGCAGCTGTTGCTGTTGTTGTTGCTGCTGTATATTGCTGTTGTTATTATTGTAGTTGCTGTTGTTGTCCACAACTTTTTGGCTAGTACAATTGACACCTTCGCTATGTGGGTGAAGTGGTCTTTAACGTGGCCTTAATGCAGCCTACCTACATCTTAATTTGGCTAGCAGCTTGGCAGGCGCCTCTTGTTATTGCCAGATGCTCAAAAACTGAAAGCTGAAAACTCAAAACTGAAAACTGAAAACTTTGCACACAGCAATTGAAGCGGATGAGCGACATTGTTTTTGCTTACGACAAAAACTAAACGTGCCCAATGCGAAATTCCACTAAATGCGCACAAAAAAGCAAAAAACAATCAAATGAAAAACAATAAAATTAAAATGAAAGTCACTGGGAGCTAGGCAGGTGAAAGAGAGAGAAAGGACGACTTGCAGATACCCTCAATGTTAACATTGTACATATGAATACGGATTTAACACTTCGGTCGTATCCTAAGTGCCCATAGATAGCTTCTATATGCGAATTTATAGTATGGTTAGGTATGTATATATGTATGTAATATCAAAGAAAGTTGTATATTCCTAAAGCTATCAACAGATAGTTCATATTCATAATTTATGCATGACATCAACAAAACTAGCATGCAACCAATATACCCCACTACACATATACAATGGGTATAATGGATGGAAAACGATTTCTTTAAGTTGTGCAAGTTCTTTTAATTTTAATTAAACGGATGAGCAGCAATTAGCGAAATAAATTCAACAATTTTGCAAATGAGCCAGGACTGGGGACACGGTACTACGCGCCCAAGTGGGCGTGGCAATTGAATCTCTCGTAACTTTTGGCCGGAATGCGGGCCAAATAGCAAACAAACAAAATGGTGGAGCTGACAAAAAATATGTTTTTACTGCAGAATTTAGAAGTTCAGCAGCAACATTGACAACAACAACTGCAACAAGTACAACAACAASAACTAGTCCATGGGCTCCTTTTTAGGGCCACACTTCAATTTCAGAGAGAAGCTCTCGGTTTGCTCGCTTCTTCTCCTCATGCTCAAGCTCCATTTTCAGTTAATTTTTTTCTCGACTTATTCATTTTGGCTTTAATTGGGGCTCGCTTACTTGCATTTTCGTTGTCAGTTTTGGATTTGCTCCCCAAGAACTTAGCCAATGGCAAATGCATTCTATTCTCTCCCCTTTTAACTTCTTGCTGTAGTTTCGCATTTAATTACGAAAGTTTTTTAATTAAATTACTGTGAAGAACATCTGTGTCAGGCCGAGGCTCTTTTTTTCGGCTTCACATAATGTGCGAGACAACAAGCCAAATAACAGCACCCTCGATTTGTGTACTCTATCAATGTGAATCCCCGCATGAAACGAATATGATGTAATTGTACATTCCCTTTATATGAAAGGAAATAGATTCTTGTGCTCTGGGGGAGTTTGTCAAGTTCTGAGGCTCACGTGAAGAATGTTAAAAAATATAAAGTAAATATACAACCATATATAACTATATAACTACGGTTTCCCAGAATATTGAGAAAAGCTTACAATCGTTTGAGCTGCCCTCGTTGTAACTCAAGAGTTGTTCTTGTATATTTCCGAGTCGGGTTGGCAACTGTTTGAGTTGCCCTCGCAGTCATTCAATTTGTATATGTTTTTATATATGACGTTCGCAGAAAAATCACCTCGTCTATCTGCTCTCAGGGGCTTATCTTAGGTCAATAAGATGATAGCATATTCGCGCGCTTGACTCAGTCACTAAAATGAGCTCCGCGTGGCAAGCCCTGTTTCTTGTTGTGGCCGCATTCACAGCTGCCGATGCAGACCCTAGTCTGTCTATAGTTCCTCGCGCGGATTGGCATGCTCGGCCACCAAGTGGTCCAATGACAGCCATGGCGCTGCCATTGGGACGTGCTGTGATTGCGCATACGGCAGGACGCAGCTGCACGGATGATCAGAGCTGTGCCGACCAGGTGGCCAGCATCCAGACGTACCAGATGATTCGCCTGAAATACTCTGATATCAGCTATCACTATCTGGTGGGTGGCAATGGTCGCGTCTACGAGGCACGCAGTCCCAGTCAGCAGGGTGCAATTGCCGCTGGCAATAATGCCAATAGCCTGGCAATCGCCTTCATTGGCAACTTTGATTTGGAGTCGCCCACAGATGCCGCTCTGGCCGCTGCCCAGTCGCTGCTGGAGCATGCTGTCAGCCAGGGTGAGCTGGCCCAGAACTATGATCTGTTGGGCCACAGGCAGTTGAGCGCCACCAAAAGTCCAGGCGATGCGTTGTATACTGTTATAAAGAGCTGGCCGCACTGGAGCAACGTGGGAGATGTGGCATAGCAATAGATTTCAGAGACAAATGTATAGATTTCGACACGTAAAGACCATTCCTTACACATTTATTGTAAATATAATTATGTATAATTTGTTGCTTGCTTAAATAGAATACTAAACTTTTAATTTTGTTGATCTGTTTTCTCATTTCATTTGTTTATTAATATAATATGTTTTATTATATTTTGTTTTCTTTCATCTCGATATACTCGCGCGCCGAAACGTTTTGTTGTCGCTTTTGCAAAGCTCCCCGGGAGCACTGGGCCACAATAGAGATTTGAGACATCACATAGTATTCACTGAACTTCAAAAACAAAAACCTAAACTAACTTTACAGAACCTTAAAGCACAGAAGCAAAAGAACAGCTCACTTAATGCAGAGAAGAATAGAGGCAAAACTAGCTGGCTAGCAACATAACCAATATCAAGTGCTAATGCCAATATCAATTCAAATATATATATGTATATATAGATAGATACATATCTATGTACATATATGTGTTCATATACATATATAAATATATAGTTTATGATTTAGAAAATAGAAATAGAAAACAAGGAACTATACAAAATTCGTAAAGTACTTAGGTAAAATTGCACTAATGAACACCCCCATTCGTGGAGGCGTTACCATTCTGTTGCTGTGCTGCCACAATGGGCAGTTGGAGCAGCCAATCTCGCTTCGCCTGGCCCTCGGGCGTATCACCACGCTGTGCGCTCAGCGTTTGGAAGCAGGTGGTCAATCCCACGCTGGGCGTGAACTCGGCACGTTCGCGTAATTCCTCTTCTGTGGCCAGCATAATACAATCCTCGTCAATCTCCTCGCCGTCCGCATAGGCCGGCTGATGTTGGTCGATGCCGTTCCGTTGCTGGGCTATGCTGTCGCTGTTGCGCCGAAAGGAGTCGTCGGTCTTCCGCAGGAAATTGTATAATGCCACACAGCCTAGGACCACCTCGTTGACGTGCTTCTCGCTAACGCGCAGTGGCTGCGCCAGTATCGGAAATATATTGCACAATATGCGCAATGTTTGTTCTGCATGAGCATTGATTTGTTCCAGGGCAGCGTACGCGGCACTTTCCTTGGCCACGAGCCGTGTGCTGACCAAGTACGACGTGCTCGGTAGCACCGCATCGCCGGCGAGATAATAGCCCTTGCGATGAGGCTCAGATTTGGCCTCCAGTGCCTGCATCTTCTGCTCGATATGCTCGACGGCAGTGGTCTGGTTGTAGATATCATTTGGTCGACTGTTCGCTGCACGCTCCACCTTCACATACTGGAAATTGTTGTCCGCATCGACGATGGCCGTAAAGATGACTGTCGCACGCTTGCGTTCGTCGTTGCCTATGCTGTTCTGCAGCTGAATGCTGCGCATAAACAGATTACCCACACACTGGGGCAGGTTATGCTTGCGCTCCATTTCGGTGGCTGCGTTGCGCCACTGCTCGTCAGTCTTTGGTAGTGTCACGTATTGGTCCTTCAGGTGCTCGTAGAAGCCCATACAGATATTGGCAATCATTTCGTTTATCACAAATTTGGAGGCACGGAAGCAGTAGTTTCGACAAGAATGCACTTCACCTGCAATATATACACATATATCATGATGTATATCAATCATTCTATATATATAGTTTTAGAATGGGATCGAAATCAATTTATTAGTATTTTGCTTACCCGTTGCCAAATACTTGAGCGTTATGGCCAGACGCTCCTCGGCGCTGAAAGATTTCTTTTTGCGCTGCGGCGCATACTGACTGATAATGGGCTCCAGTTTCTCTACCAGATAGCGAAACTGACTCTCAGTTATGGCGAGGAAGTAATTCAAATGATAGCACTCGTCCTTGCGCGATTGCAGCTCACTGAGAAGATTCTCCTTGCTGAGAAACTCTGATTGGTTCTTGCGAAGCCACTCCTTGGTCCATTCGAGACGCCGTCGCGTGTTCAGTATACCAGCTAGGTCGAGCGCACTGATTTTAGATGTTTGCGGCCGTGTGAGCACCGAGGTGCGTGCCGCACCACTCGGTCCTACGGCAGCAGCACCACCACCAGCTGCATTCAGTGCATGGGCATCATTGCGTTCTGGTCCAGGGGCGTTGCCATTGCCGTTGTCGTTGCCATTGCCATTGGTATTGTCCTGCGTGACCCCATTCGCAACAGCCGCGCCCACGCCCACCTGATGACTGCCAACGCCAGCAGCGACGCTGCCGCTGCGATTTACATTCGTGCCACCGTCGCGCTCGCGCAGCACACCGATAACCTTTAGTTTGATTTTTTCCATTGCCTGGAAATGTATTCAAAATTTGTAGTGGGCATCTCTCATCAAAACAGTTCGTCAGCTCCTCGTACACGCCCCGCCCCGCCCACGACAACCACTCGCCCTCGTGTACAGGGCTGTCACAGTCGTTAGCGTGTGTGTGTGTGTGTTTTTGTGTGTGTATGACTGTGGCGTTTTGTGCAACAAATCGATTTTTACTCACCCTCACTCTCCGCTGCGTTGAAATGCCTTTCGCTGCTGCTGCTCCCGTTCCTTCGTTGCCTTTGCCGTTTCCGTCGTCGTCGCTGTCGTTGTCGTCGCTGTGTGTATAACCAGTTTCGTTCTTTGAGGGGAACACGGTTGGACTGTTGTATAATTAGAATTATTTGCACCACTGTCTCAACATTCGTTTGTTATCTTTATCTTCAGTGAATTTCACAAATTTGCACGTAGATTTTAGTTCTGATCTGTCATCTGTTTCTTGGCTTCTGTCAACTCAATACGATATGCGATAGCAACAACGACGAAGAATCTGATATTTTGGCAGTAATTTCATTGCCAGTTTGTGCGCTGTGTTCGATGTAGATTCTTATATTGTTTAACTTTGTTTTAGCTTCTATGCAATTATGTGCTTAAAAACCACATTTTTCTTGATTTTTTCACTATGCAGTTGCTCTTTTTCCAATTTTCTGTTCCATACGCACGAAGTATTGCTTGTTCGCTTCGTCTTGCTGCTTCGTCAGCTGTTGCTTTCGTCGTCAGCTGTAATGTGTTGAGGTGCAGTGTTGTCGAGCTACGTGCTGCACAACGAGCCAGTTGATTATTGAACTGATTCAATGAATTTGGTATTTTTTGCATTTCAAAAAAGTAAATAGTCGTTTAAAATTTACATTATAGTGACAATATGAGCAAGCCTGCTGATTAACTAATACGGGATTGAATCTCAAAGTAATCACAGTAACTTACAAATAATTATTAAAGAAAATGTTACTTCTTGTTTCAAAAACTTCTTCGTAGTTTGACCAATTGGAATTCGTTAAATAAAATACTGACTTACAGACCTTGAAGTATGCCAGCAAAATCGACATTCAAGCTAAGAATTTCCGTCCTCGCCTTGACAATCCCAAAGCGGTATTTTATGGTACCAATTTTAAAATACTAAATAATCAATCAGATCCAACTTCAGTTTCAAACGTTTATAACGGCTATTTTATTTTTGAGTTAGCCACTTTAAATACTATATATGTAAATAGATATATGAGTACGCAATAAACCCAAAATAAAACAATTGAAGCCATTTTTTTTATTAAGCATTTTATTTGGTTAATCATACGCGTGTGGTTTACAATACAAATAATGTTTTTTTTTTTGTTGTTTTTCTATTTGTTGTATGTTTTTAACACAAATATTATTATATTTATAACCCATTACACAGGCGATGCTAAGACATTGTAATCTTGTAATAATTTAGTATTAATTATGAATACACGGCAAAGGTGTGCATTGCGAAAATTAGCATTAAGTATATGACTCTGTTGTATGTTTGCGGCTTTATGTGAATAATTACCATACATCGGCTGTGTTCATCTTGTATATAAGTATTTTAAATTTTATCTATGCAAGTTTCTGTTTGGTTTTGTTTTGTTACTGTATAATAATAATGTATGTATTTATGTATATTTTTCATTAAAATATGCAAGCGTAAAAATTTGCTTGGTTCTTGTAAAAAATGAGACTTTAAAAGCATTTCACTTCCCAGGCCTTCACTACTTGCTCATTACATCCGTATGCAATTGTATATTTTGCTTAAATTAAACTACAATAATAAGCGACTCATTTAATACATACACATATTAGGTATAACTACATCAAATTAAAAGCAAATGTGGATTCTGCATTCGATTACAATGCTCGTTTAGCTCGATAACTCTTGTCTCTTAGAAGATTTCATAAACATGTAATTATAAAACATTAAAGCCAATTATAGAAAAATGTGAATTAGCCTTCGCTTGCCATATTCAACTTTGCGATTTTTTATAGTTTTTATAAATATATAAAATATATATATATTCGTGTATATATATTTATTTATTATTTAAAACTCATGTGAATGCATTTCATATTCATTTAAAATGTTTATACTGATGAAAAAATGACGAATTTGCTAGTTTTTATTATAATATGATCATCAAGCTGTTAGTAATATGAAAGTCCGTGTCATAAAAAGTTGGTGATGTGGTGTCCCATTCAGTGTGTTTCTTAGTCAGGATATAGGATTCGAACTGTACTTCCATCCTTAGTTGAATGTCTTGTCTGCAATGGTACATAAGAAAATATCAGAATATTTAGTAAAGGCGAACTTTCTTTCGAACTTTCTATAAAGGCGACATATATTCTGTCTCTGTCAAAGTTGAGCTCTGCTGCTTCTATATTGAGACTAAAATAAAAACCGAAAATCAAAGATACAACTAAAAGCCACAAGCCTTGCCTTAGAATGCTTACCTAGCCAATTATTCTTAGTCATTGTTTAAGCCCCTTATTAATAAATTCTTTTCTTCTCATCTTTATTGGTGTTGTTGCTGCTGTTGYTGTTGTTGCGGTTGTGTCCTTAGATCTTCATCCTCAACCACCGTCGACTCGTCGTGCGACCAAAAGCTGGCCGACATTTGAGAGGATGACATGCCCCCCACACCAGGGAATGAATCCTCCATTAACGTACTTGATGCACAGCTCGTAATGCTCCCGGACATCTGAGAGTTTCCAGCGCTTGTCTGATACGTAGCCGTTGTACCAGCTGAGCTGGTAGTTTGCTCAATGCACAGGTTTAGAGAATCAACGGATATGTCCTTGGACATGCCGCTCTCATCCAGTGGCAACTCCTGAATGCCACTTCCACCTCCGCCGCTGGTAACCGTCGTGGTGGTTATCACACGTGTGACAGTGTGTTCTTGGCCATCGGCGTCTGTGCTGGTGGTTGTGGTTGTCGTGGTGGTAGTCAAACCATCTCCTAATGTTACACCACCACCAGTGACCAGCTTGGACATAAGATCCAGTTGCTCATCCCCAAACGATTCAATACTCTCCTGTCGCGAGTGGCGCTTATCAATTTCCAAGGAGTCAATGTCCGAGCGTGTGGTCGCATCTTTGGAGATATCGAAGCTCTCTATACTGCTGGTCATCATGTCATGGCTTCGAATCTCCATGCTATCGATGCTGTCCTTTTCCGAATCCTGGCTGTCAATTTTTGACTTCAGATCCAGTTCGGTGGTTGGCAGTTCAGTAATCTTGACTGTGCCACTAACTGCTTTCGAGTCAAATTCGTCCCTCTCCAGTTGTTGCTTGAGCAAGAGTTCAAGGTTTTCTGCTTGGCCAGCTGGCAGCACTTCAGTGCGGGTCACAGTGCGCGTTACCTTGGTGACCACCACATTGCCAGCGGCACCGTGGTCGCTGCCGTTCGATTTGTTGGATTCGTCCGAACGTGACAGCATTGCCGCCTCCTCCTTGGCTTTGATCTCAATTAAATGAGCTTCAATGCATGCATTTTCCAGTCCCTCAAAATCTTTGAGGCTAGATATTGAGACATCATCGCCAGGCGCTGTCCCACTGCCACTGTGCCGCACCATATAGCGGCGTGTGAAGCTACCATTGCTAGAGTCTGTGGAGCCTTGGTGGCCACGATTTCGGTTCTCTAGCGAAATGGCCTGCTCCAGGGACTCAAACTCTTGCAGGCTGCTCATGGAGACATCATCGTGGTCACCGCGCGAATGATAGCGACGTGCTGCCAAATCATATTCTGGTGTACTCGAGAACGAATCCTTGAAACTGCTAATGCGACTGCTGCCCACCTCGAACTCTCCATCTTCCTCCTTAATATCCTCCAACACAGCGCCCGCTAGATCATAGGGATAACGCAGCTGTGTGTCAGTCAGCTGCATCTCGACCCAGCGCTTATTTGCAGCTGCAGTATCGCTTGAATCGCTTTCCTCCTGCTGCTCGCTGCTGCTGCTGGCTCCTGTTGGCGGACTTTCCTCGAACTCAAAGTTGAGGTCGTCCTTGTATAGCTGAGAGCCCAGTTTGGGATCGGCAGGTGCTGATTTTATTATTATTTTTTCAACATCCTGATCATGTTTCTGTTCATATTTGGTTGGCTTAATCTTTATGCTTTTTCCGCCCAAATCCACCTCATTGGCCTCTTTGGCTACTTCCTCAATGATGACAAACTCATCTGAGATATCAGGTTGTTCAACCATTTCAAAGGAGTCGGGCGAATCAGCTGCCCTTTGATCATCGTAATCTGCACCCACTTCGGCTCTCTTGAGTTCTTCAAGCTTCTGCTTATATTGCTCCTGCACTCGTCTCTGGAAGTCGAGCTCCTTTTCTTCTTCTTTGGCTTTTTGGTAAATGGCCACATCACTTGCTTTGTTTAGCTCCTCTTCAGTGCGAACCTTATACAAAGTCTTCTCCGGAAAGTCATCAGCGTCTTCTTCCAAAATCGGCGACTTTACATCCTCGGTAACCATTATGTCAGGGATATTTGAGTAGTCTTGCATATTTTGCGAGGGTCGTCGCTCTTCAATCATGGCTGCTTCCGCTTCCAGCTCCTCTGTCGCATCCTCAACAATGACTTCGGCTACCAGCTGAGAGGGTGTGAATGGACGTTTCTCAAGCTCGGAGCTGTGATCCATCTCAGCAGCTGCTTGTTTTTTTTTCTTATGCTTTCGTTCTTTTGGAGAGCGGAATTGGCGAGCATATTCGGATTCGTAGGGGTCTGTATCGGACTCACTTTCCGATTCCTTGCCTTCACCTGGTGTTGGTGTATCCTTGTCTAAATTCTTTAGCGCATCTCCAGAAATTGTTGTACTCTCATTGCGTTTGTGACCACGCCTCTTCGACTCACTGCCAGGCGGTGTACTGGCATTCGAGTCTTGTGGCGAACTTTCTTTACTTTCCATTTCCATAATGAATGTGTCTTCTGGTATTGACGTGGATGGAATTGGATCCTCATGGCCATATTGAAAACCTTCAATACCTGTCAATGACGAGGAACCGGCAGAGCCGATTATGTCATCAAAGTTTTCCACAACAGTATCGATATTTGATGTACTCGACATGCTGACAGAGAGAATGCTTCCCTCATCTAAGCTTGAGGCTAGCTTCGACTCGTCAATTGAACGCCTCGAATCACCGTGATAGAGCAGTATATCTTCTCCCTTTTCGCTCTCTCGGGGGCTATCCATCTTTCCCTCTTTCTCTTCAATTGGATAGGCTAGTCCCCAAGTGCGTTCGATCTCTTTCGGTTTGGGATACTCATCAATCTGTGCAGTCTCTGACGTTTGTTGCAGAGGTATAACTTCAGCCTCAGACTTGGGCTTGAATATCATTTCCTGAGAGCGCTTCATCGCGCTTTGCTGTTCAGTTGTAGGATAGGCAGAGGCTATCATATCAAGGCTCTCATCACTATCGTCGTCATCAGCACGCAGATCGTGCAGGCGAGCCATTTCTTCAGCCTCCAAGGCATCAGCTTCTGTTGAGGATGCTACTAGAGTCTCAGACAGCTCAGAGACGTCAATGCTTATCAGATTGGCTGAAGTTTCTGACTGGGAGTCCAGGCTGCGCATGCTCTCATGCGAGCTAATCGACTTTCCACTGCTGCTACCTAGAGTACTGACTGCACTCACGTACTCGGTGCCATCGCGACATGTGGAAGGTGTGAAATCTCGTGCAGTTTGATACTCGCTTGATGTTCCGGTACCTGTAAGCAAGTTTTCTACATCTGACGATAGCGGACGACTCTGAGTTTTATCGAAACTCTTGTGGTAGCTGTCGCTGGAGCTTGAATGATCTACATCTGGAATAGACCAGCGATTGGTGGAGTCTGGCGACGAATCAGTTTTTATGCGATGTACTACTAAGTCGACTGGCTTAATGCTGTGATCAGAAACTGCTTCCTCGAAGGTGCTGCTAATCGACTTATCGGCAACGTTGCCTTCTGCGACTACAGATGCTGTGGCTAACCTCTCTGTGTAATAGTCCTCCATGGAGCTAAAGTCATCAGCTGTTTCGGTAGATATGAAGCCAAGTGAGACTTGCTCTTCCTTTGCCAAACGCTCTTCCATTGAACTAAAGTCCTCAGCTGTGCCTGTTGAAACAAATCCTAGAGATCCATGATCATCACGTCGATCTACTTCGCTTGGCGCATCGTTACCGTAATGAGCAATGACAGCTTGTTTGTTTAATGTCTCCTTGACTGTTGTATCGAAGAGACCCTCTGGTGGCTTAGTAGCATCTATTGTGGAGGCTTGACGTTCCGGTATTCCTATAAAGGATGACACATCCTCTACTTCAATATCAGAACGAAAGTCTTGAGGCACTTTGCTAAGCTCAAATTCTCTTTTAATAGCCCCTGTGGATTCCGGAATCTTTTCTATGGGTTTTTCGGTCAATGCCTGTGGTTGCTGTGGCGAGTGAAGTACCTTTGGTTTACTTGCAGTGGGAATTTCTTTTTCAGCCATTTCCCACTCACTTTTCTCAAGTGGCACCTCGAATTTGTCTGGCTTTTCAATAATTGTGTTGACTATTTCCGGAATTTCCTTGCTTGATTCTTCACTGCTTGAAGGCGCCACCTCGATAACCGCACGACCACTGGAGCCGGTCGACGTGGTTAGGCTCTCCTCGGTGGTTACTTTAGACATTTTAGCTTCGGTGGTTTTATCTCTTTCAGCATTTTCCAATTCCAGGAGATCATTTCTAGTTTCCGAGCTTTGTCTGATTATTTTGCTATCCAAACCAGCTGGCTCATCGGGTTTCATAGTTACATATTCCTTAAAGGCATCATTAGCTTCATCTGAATCAACTGAGACCTCCTTCATAAGACATATATCCTTTGCTTCTATCTCGGTCATTTCTGTCTTAGGTTCTTCGTCCTGTGGCGTCATACTAGGGGATTTCGTAAAGGTTTTCGTTATTACATTTTGGCTTGATTCGCCAATGTAAAAGCTTGTTGTCTTCTCGACACCTTCAGATTTTTCTGTGTCTGCTTCGTCTACTGAAATTTCGCTTGTTGGATCAAAACTTTCAGTGTGATCCTCAGATGCAGTTGTTGTGGTTGTTGTTGTGACAATATCCCTTAGCTGCGATCGGATCGACAGCTCTGTGGAGGGCTCGTCTGTTTTGGAAATATCCTCTGTAAAATCAAAACTACGTAGGCTAATGCTGTCGGATTGTTCGCCCAATGCTGCCAGATTCTCAAACTGATCTGTGTGCTTAATGGGAGCACGGGGCTTCGGAACTGGTGCAGATGCATCAATACTTATATCGATCGGTATGTCTGATTGCTGAACTTGATTTGGAATGGTGGTGCTATCTGTGCCTTCGGATATGGAGTCGGGCGGGCTTGCTTTGAGTACGCGAGGTTTTGGTGTGGGTGTGTCTTGGCTGGTGGTCGTGAATGTATTGGTTTCGACCACCGTTTCAGCTGCTGTTTTAGTTGTTGTTGTTGTTGTGACAACAGCCGACGGTGGTTTAGGAGTGGTATCGGTTGAGATTGGTAAATCGCCGCCTGTTTCTACAAAACAATAGGTGTGAAAATAAAAGCAATTTTAAAAGTGTGTTGCGAAATTGAAATCAGAAAGAAGATGAGAAAGAGGAAACAGAAGTATACATAAGGGAGCAGAAGGATGAACAGAACAGAGTGGTATATAAGAGATATGAGTGATTAGTAAGCGTTAAACAGATTGATAGATAGGTTCWTAGAGATAGAGTAGATAGATAGATTGATAGAATAGGTGTGAATGATTGATTGATTGACTGACATTTATGGAGTTGACATGCATATTTCATATGAATAAACTTGAACAATTTGTAACAATTCGAAACATAAGATTAAATGCAATTAGAGCTCAACTTGAACAAAAAGTGTTTTAATATTTTCGCTTTTATTGGCCGCCATTTCACAGGTGTTTATGAAACGTAAACCAATAACGAATGTTATACGTTTTACATCTAGATTTTGTATTCACAATCTACAGAAGTCACCAATAGAGGAACCATATACAAAGCAATATTTATGTATAATTTAATGTGTTAAGCGTGTGGCTATATTGTTGTTATACTGATGATACCTGTAGTCAATTCTTGTATATCATTGTCGGGCGTTAATTGGGTCTGTGCCATATCGGCCATTGTATTAGTTGTGGGCGAAACGCTATCATCCCAACTGAGCTTCGAATATTCGCCCTGCAGGGCGCTTATCTCGTCCTCTTGTACAACTGTTTCGAATGCCTCATCGAATCGGGCGCTGACATCATCTACGTCAGCGGATAGCTTTTGTATCTTATGCTCGATGCGTCTGGTTCGCACCTCCATTTTATCTTCCCCTTCACTAGGCTCTACACACATACATACGTGATTTGTAGGTATTTTTGGATGAGACATGATCAACGGGTAGCAAGCATACAAAGAATACAGGATAATGATTAAATTTAACGGACTACTGCGACCCAATATGTAGGAGAATATATTTGATGACGCTAAGGTCCTATTAGGTTCCTGCTAACTGCTATTATTGTAGATCGAACAGATTGTTGCCTTGGCATTATAGATTACCTTTTGCTGTCGATGAGGCTAGTGGTTGTTGCTGTTGTTGTTGTTGTTGGAATTGCGTTGTYACTGTTGTTGTTGTAGTTGTTGCTGTTATGTTTTGGGCATGCAAGGGTAAATTAATGTGCTCATCTGTGAAACTCATATTATCATCGAATGATTTGCCCGACATGGACTCAATAGTTGGCGATTTGATAACATCAACGCCGACAATATCGTCGCATGTTATGGCATAATTCTCACTCTCAGAATTGTATTCGTGCTTTATGAAATCGTGGCCATTGGCCTGATCCCCATGGCCCTCAATAAAATCGACACTCTCTTCGAGCACATTATCGACTAGAATTTTGGCTTCCTCGCGTATGCGTGCCACACGATTAACATCTTCGCCATCATCACATTCACCAACTTTATGATCACCTGTAAAACAATTGCACATATTCATTGATAGGTAGAAATTAGACAGACAGATAGTTGACAAGCTTGGAAATCATGAACGGCATGAGAAGCGAATTATCGAAATCTTGTGATTAATCAGGATACGTATGTGCAGTATTATGTGATAGATAGAAGATGGAGAGTTGAAAATGCGGTGATATTGGTGAAGTGAGCGAGATCTTTGAGCAGCGTATACGGTTTGTCAAACTGAGTTAATTGACTTAATAACTTTTTGTCTCAATGAGCTTTAATTGCATTTGTTAAACAATAAGAAATCACTTATAATTATCAAAAATACTTGTGAAGCGCATGAGAAAATGTTTGCGCAAAATCAATATAAGCATTTTATGTGGACGGAAGATCGCTGAACTTACCAAAAGTATGAGAGATATTCTCTGTATGCAGAATGGTTGGGGCAATTGTTGTTTTCGTAAGGCCTTCTGCAAACGAACAAGCGAATGATTAGTAAGTGTATGGAACTTTGGGAAAGTAACATAAAAGTAACCTAAAAGCAATTATATACGTTAATTATACGCTACAAAATAAAAAGTTAACACGGACTAAAAATAAGGACGAAACAAACAGATTCCAAAGATCTTTTTTTCACATTTTTGTTAGTTCTAATTACTAAGTACTTAGAATGTTAGTTGCACGACGCTTAGGTGATTAGAAATGTTGATTTTGTTAGTATTGTACGGGGGCACAAAGTTAAGGCAGACATTAGCATTTAAATTCAGGCTTTTTGTTGCTTGTTGTGTGGTAAAAACTTTAACGAAAATTTAATTTTATGCATGTTAATTATTAATTGTTTGGGTTTACTTACAATATGCTTGAGTGTATGTGTTAAATATATTCAGTTGAATTTATTCATTATATTAGATATCTTATTTAGACACTTATACGAGTTATGCAACTATTGTTATATTGGTTATTTGGTAAGGATTGGATACTTGAAGACTAGTTGTCAACTCTAGCGACCGACTCATCGGACTCAACATATTCCACATCGGTATGGGCGTCTCGTATCACGCCTTTTCTATGGACCCTCTCGGCGTCGGCATTGTAGCTCCTGCCGTCTTTCTCATGTACCACGGTATAGCTCTCATTCAGCATATCGTTCAGCTCTTTGCTGTTGCTATTGGCCACCTTGATGACCGGTGGCTCGAGTACGTCCTCTGCATCTGATGGCAGTTGCACGTCCTCCACATCCGTGTTCTGCTGACTGACTGCGTCGTTCTTAAGCAAACGCAAGTGAAGTGGCTGCACTTTATATGTATTCTGAGATACCTTGGGTAGTTCAGCTGGCGGTAAGGAAGTATCCGAACCATCAGATACATCATCGGTGGACGGTTCATCGGAATCAGTGTAGCCCTTGGCTTGCTGTTTCAGTTGGGCCACACGCTTCACGCTAGGCGGTAGGTCACATTCACTGAGTTCCATGTCCTCTACATCGGTAATGCCGTCCTCTTTGCCCTTGACAGCATCAAGGAGCTTGTTCTTTCCCTTGCTGAGAGTGCGAGTCTTCATCTTCTTTCGTCGATTGGTGCCTGCCACAAAGATTTCCTCTACATCAGTCACAGATTCGGCATTCGAAAGCACCTCCAGACGCTTATTCTGCTGCTTCAACAATTCATTGGAGACAATGACTTCATTTTCTATAAGACTCGCTGCTCCCATGGCCATTTCCTCGGCAAGTGAAATATTTGTACTCAAGTCTTCGGCACACGAGTATTCATCTGAATCGGTATTATTTACGTCTTTCAAGTGGTTATATATACCAAACTCGTAATTGCTCTTCATTGGCATAACATTGGTAATCGTATCTCCATTCTTATCCTCTTTCAGCTCAACGACCTCGCGATGGGGCATTGGCAATGCTTCGGAGGCAACAGAAATGATTTCGGGCAAGGCGCTTGCAAGTGAAAGGTCATCGCAGTAAATGTCCTCTACATCAGTTAGGCATGTGCCATCGTCCCCAGCGGCTAGAATGATAGCACGTGGAATCGGCTGTTCATCCTCATCCTCATCAAAGCTATCTTCTGCAGCTGAGTCATCGATGCCCTCAATATCTGTGAGTACCTCTTCGTTTTTCGGAGCCACTTGCAGAAAATGCTTTTTCTCAGTATTGAACAGAGTTGACTTTGAGTTCCGGCGGTGCTCTCCACTAGCGTTAATGAAGGCCACATCGATTGGTGGCAAACTGGCTTCACTTATGCTCGCGCTCCTGGCAGCAGCGCCGCCCGATTCAGACTCAGAGCCCGAACAGGCTATTTGACATACCTCTTCGCTGCCACTGCCAGACACCTGGAGCACCTCGTCCTCAGAATTGCCGCGCACATGAATGCCAATGCCGGTGCAGTCGGACATTGCGGATGCCAAGTCACTAATGTCGCTAACGACGGAGATATCTTCATATTGGTCAGAGTCATCCTCGTGCTTCTCGCCATCGGCAATGTTAACTCGTCCCTGATCTCCCACAGCATTGTCTAAATCAACACAGACAGACTTTTCACAGCCGTAGTCCACCTCGGAGTCTGTGTCGTAGTCCTCGCAGTCGGTTAATAAATCGGCCAGGCCATTCAGATTTTGTGCTTGAAGAAAATTACCATCTTTGATTTCACAGCTCTCCTTAGCATCGTTGTCCATAGCTTGCTGGTTTTGCAATCCTTGCTGTAAGAATTCGCGCAGTGACAATTTCAACTCGGGATAAGCAACGCTTTTCTCATCATCGTCTGATTCAGTGTCGTAGTCCTCCACGTCAGTAACATCGTTTTCTAGGGGACTTGGTTTTTTCTGCTGGGGCTTTAGTCTTGGCGATACGTTACCAGAGCTGTGCCGAGAGTTGAGTCTCAGTACCTCAGCCTGGCTATCGAGATCTTCAACATCTGTGACGCCGCCGTTGTTGTGACCATAGTCCATATCATTGCTATCGGAGTCATGTGAGGATGAGGAAGAAGTGGAATGCTGCTCGGCAGTTACGGATATAGTTGGGAGTTTTTTGGACATTTTGGTGGGTTTGGTTTTACTTGATTGAACTGTGGTTTTTATATATTTGTATTGGGCTTAGTTATTTGCGTTAGCTAGTTGTGGAAAATAAGTTAAAATTAAATTGAATAAAAGCATTTTGCAAATTGATATCAATTAGAAAAGTTGCGTAATGTTTTGTATTGCCCTAAGCATGGTGGGTATCGCTCTAAGCTATGCTTAATAAATGTATGATAGTGCTCTAAACCTAAATGTATCTATTTACCTTTGGTTGTGCAGTATTTCTCCGTCTCTTTCTTTTGACGACTCTCACTCACCGCCACAATGCTGCCGCTCTCGACATGCAATTGTGGCGAAGATTCTACTGCACTGCCCGATGAACCTACATGAGCATGCTGGTGCTGATGGTGGCGCCGCAATGTTTCCTCAATTAAGGCTAAGGGACTACGGGTTGGCTTTGGGGAGCCGGGGCTGGCGGCCTGCAAGCGCTCTGGCTCACCAGCGCCAAACATGGGCAGTGCAACAGAGTCGGAGAGACTGGAATCGGTGGTATCAATAAAGCTGACATCGAATTCGTTAACATAGCGCTGTTGTTCATTTGTGGATTGTGGACGCATGCCAATCGATGTATGGTGCTCTCCATCAAAATCGGGCTGGCGGTAGATCACTTCTAGGGGTTTGTCGGGGCCGAAAGTCTTAGTGAAAACCTCGCTGGTTAGCACCTTGCGACTGTTGCTGCCGCTACCAGAGGATGATGAGGTAGAGCTTTTTGTACTATCACTTGATTTAATGGATCGTATGGTTATCACCTCGGAGTCGTCATCAACGAGCACGGTGCTAACCGCGCCGGTTGTGGCCGTCGGTGCCTTGTGAACACGCACTGTCGATGTCGATGTGGTAACCTTCTGCTCTGCTGATAGCTTCATATTGGTCTTCTCTTTGTCCGTCTTACGACTGACCGTCACGGAACGAACGCTGCGTCTGGTGCTGTTGGAGGAGCCACTGGCACTGGTGCTGCCACTAGCTGAAGTATTAGACTCGTTCATTGTATCCTTCATCTGTTTCTGCAGTTTGGGTTCTATGGAACTGCGTATGTTTTTGTTGCTTCCCTCACTCGCTTTGCTTACTGTCTTCCTAACGATTTTCTTATTGTCTATCTGAGGTTTTAAAACGGTGTCATCACTTTTTTTGCTTAGCTTAGATGAAGTTCTTGGTGTTACGGAAGACAAGCTAACTGGAACTTTGGTGCGCTGTTGCATAGTTGTTGTAGTTTTCTTCTGTAGATTTTTGTTATCAGATTCTATGGAAGTTCTGTAGGCAATGGATTTGGTTGCATTAGCTGATTGTGTCTTCATGCTTTTAGTTATTTGGCTCTTGGAGCCTATCACGTTTGCTTGTTTATTCTCTTTGGATGTTTGTCTTTTGTAAAGGCGATCTGTACTCTTTAATGACTCCTTACTTTCGGTGTGGGAGCCTCTTTTGGTCAAAACTAAAGGCTTTTCTGTACTCAATTTCTTTTGTTTTTGATCTATTGACGAGTTTTTTGTCAAGGCACTTGTCACATTCTTTGTTTTATATACACTTTGTCGACTGGATTGTGTCGGAGCTGGAGATTTAGGCGGTGCTGGTGATTTGGATGGAGCCGGAGTTCCACTCCGGCTTTCGCTCTCGACATTCCGGCCGTAACGCATACTGTGAGCTAATGTTGGCTGCATATATCGGTGTGTGGTGGTAGATGGAGTTGGCGTTTTTGTTCGCTTGTCTTCGACAACTTTTGTCTTTGAGTTGATCTCTTTTTTCATTTTTATATTAACCACTTTTGCGTTCTTGCTAACATCTTTTCTTGCGATAGTTGTTTTCGATTTTGTGGCTTTAGTTGACGGACTTGAGGAGCGAACTGAGCTGTTGTATGGTATTTTGGTAACATCTGTCTTCACCCTAGGTCTAGGCGTTGTGGAACGACTATTTTCGCCTTGAGGATGACTTTCATAAAATATTGAGCTTGATGCTGGACTTGAAGATCTTTCAAAGTGAATTTCACTTATGACTCTACTTGTAGCCGATGCGGAGCTTGTCGTTGTTGAAACAGAACTTGTCACTGATCTCCTCGATTCGGTTTTCTTAGCAGCCTTCGACGATTCACTTGATATTGTTTTGGGCTGCCCTGATAGTTTGCTTGTGACCTTTGTTACTTTTGGCTGTGTTTGTGGAGCTTTCTTTTGTATTGTCTTCGGGTTTTCCCTATTATCTATTGGTTTTTTAGTCTGCGGTTTAATTTTTGAAGCTGCCGTCGACTTCGCATTGACATTGCTTATAAGTTTTGGTTTTGTAATTGGAGTCTTCGTTTCCTTCAATTTATTTGGTACTACATCTATACCTGTGTCGTCTAACTTCACAAAATAGGCAACAGGTCGAACTTCTTTGCACTCAATATTATTTCTGTCCTGTGAAATTA